CCAGTATTCTTGCCTGGAACATCCCATGACAGAGGAGCCCGGCGGGCTACAGTCCACAGGGTCCCGAAGAGTTGGACACGACTGAGTGACTGAGCAGAAACACGTATGGTCAGGGTAACAGGTTCTGTCTCCCAGAGGTCCTTCTCCCAACTTCTACCCCCTCCCGCATCTTCCAGTTAGGAAGAGGGTTGGAGGCCAGACTGCAGGCCTGCGCTGGGAGCTCTCTGGAGAATGCAAGAGAAATGCAACACAAAGTCATTCAGTCTGGTTGGTGAGAGGAGATAAACATGCAACACCACAGAAGTCTCCATGGTTCCCTCCTTCCTTTCACAGGCATTGACTTGGGCCCCAATTGTGTAGTCTGTAACCCACTGGGGAGAAAAGACTTTGACTCCACCAAGTTAAAGCTGTAAGCATCTTTTTGGATCATCTAATTATGAACAATCTGGAAATTTCAATCTCTCTCTCTTTCTCTTCCAGCAGCATTTTAGAAGCCTGGCCCATTAATTAGATTGAGGTGGGTTCTCTGGTCAAAGCAGATAGAGGAAATTGTGTCCACTTGGTCCCCCCACACCACTGGTCATCTGAGTAGTCTCTGAGGAACCCTCCTGGGAAAAACAGTTTGAAAAATCATTAATCTGCCCCAACCCCTGAAAATCCCGGTTTTGGAAACTGAGATTCTGAGAGGTTAAAGTACTTGCCCAAGGTCATTTAACTGCACCTACTAATGGCAGACAGGTCTCTTTGCTTGGTCCCCGTGCTATAGTAGTGTAAACTGGAAGGCTCCAAAAAGCGAAGATAAACGGTAGGGAAGCGGAGGGCAGACAGTTCAGCAGGATCTCCCTCTTCGGGGAGGCAGGAAACTTGAGTGGAGGCCCTGCTGGGTGGTTGAGGGGGCAGAGAGGGTCAAGCAGGTGTTAAATTCCAGAAGCCAAGAGATAAGCAGTGTGAGGCCAGTGGAAAACTGGGATGCAGCTAGCATCAGGTTGGATGTCGAGAAAAGGCCTGAGGCACAGGCTTCGGTGGAGGTAGAGTTGGAGGGTTGGGTATTTTTCCACGTTTACCCAGTTGAATCTGCTGATTCTGGACTCCAGACGTTTTTGACTTTGGAAGCACAACAGAAGGCTGGAAGCCCAGGCAGACAGGCGGGCACACCACTGAGCGGAAGGGGTGCATTGAGTAAACCTCAGGACAGCAGCTGTGCTGTGCTTAGTCGCTTGGTCACGTCCAGCTCTTTGTGACCTGTGGACTGAAGCCCGCCAGGCTCCTCTGTCCATGGGGACTCTCCAGGCAAGAATACTGGAGTGGGTTGCCATGCCCTCCTCCAAGGGATCTTCCCAACCCAGGGATCAAACCTAGGTCTCCCACATTGCAGGCAGATTCTTTACCATCTGAGACATCAGTGAAGCCAGGACAGCAACCTGTGTTGCATTAAAAATGAATCAAGATGGAACTTCCCTGGTGGCTCAGTGACTAAGACTCTAAGTTCCCAATGCAGGGGGCTTCGGTTCGATCCCTGATGAGGGAATTAGTCTGCGCATTCCCACATGCCACAACTAAAGATCCTGCATGCCATAACTAAGACCCAGTGCAGCCAAATAAATAAATAAATATTTTTTAAAAAATGAATCAAGGTGATGTTTGAATGAAAACAAGAATGGAGTGCTGGGGAAGAGGCACTCTCCTGGCTCCCTGTGGCTCAGGTGAGGCAACGTTCTGCAGCAGGGCCAAGTCAGCCCCAGAAGCCATGCCAGGGCTCCCAGTATCTATGCAAATGAGACAGAAGAGGTGGAGATAGCCTTGGAGAATGGCCCTTGCTAGGGGCTTCTGGGAACCATCATTCTCTTACCCACAAAATGGACACAATCATCTCAACTCAGTCTCCATCTTGGGGCTAACATAAGCAGCATATGAAATCAAGTTGAGACCCATTGAAGCCTCCTATCAAGGCTGGGGTTGCAACTCCCCATGCTATCAGAGGTGGCAAAATATGTGCACTGGCCCGGGGAGGGGGTGTGGAGACTGGAGAGTGCTTGCCCTGCCTGAAGGCATTCAGAATAAAGACTCTAAAGCCACATACTGGCCAGATGAAAGGCAGCTGCCCCACACCCTGTCCTTGTTTGCAGTCCCTCAACTAAGGTTTTGGCAGATAACTGCTTATGGTCTGAGCCTCCCAGTGGGATATATATACAAAAGAGGCCTCAAGAATTGCCCAGTCCATAGTGAGAGCCACCAGCCCCATGGGGCAGTTTACATTTAGATTTCAATGAATTAAATTTCAAAAGTTAGTTCTTCAGTCACACTAGCCAAAGTTCAAGTGCTCCATAGCCATGTGAGGCTGCTGCTGCTGCTACGTTGCTTCAGTCGTGTCCGACTCTGTGCAACCCCATAGACGGCAGCCCACCAGGCTCTGCCGTCCCTGGGATTCTCCAGGCAAGAACACTGGAGTGGGTTGCCATGTGAGGCTAGTGGCTACCAAACTGGACAGCACAGACATAGAGCCTTTTTATCAGCAACAGCAAGTTCTGGGGGTTGGGGCTGCTCTAAGACTGTCATGGTGGAATGGTAGGTATTGGGGTAAAAGGTTTCTACCTTGAGGCTTCTCAATACAATGTATCATGCATTTCCTTCTTTCTCAGCCTAAATTCAAGGTTAATCCTGGAGCCCTTCACTGCTTTCCCACTTCCTTTAAGCCCCAGGCTTTAATAACTCACTCACTCCTAAGAGTTAAGTCTTCATGCTCATTTTGCAGTTGCTGAGGACTCAGGGTCTAGTGGGAGTGGGCAAGGGCTCTTCCCAGGTTATATGTCCTCCACTACATTAGCGATTGACAGCAGGAATTTCTGAACCCCAAGGGAGAATGGCAAGCATGAAAAGAGAGGGAGAAATTCTGGGACAGTTAGGACTGAATTGAATGGTGAAGTGTAAGTCGCTCAGTCATGTTCAACTCTTGGCAACCCCAAGGACTGTAACCCACCAGGCTCCTCTGTCCATAGAATTCTCCAGGCAAGAATGCTGAAGTGGGCGGCCATTCCAGTGGTACCCAAACAGCCTGGTGGAGATGGCCACCTGCTCCTACCCAGAAAAGCCATGAGGAGCACATCCCAGCTCTTCCACTTGCTAGCTGTGTGACTTGGGCTTTCTAGACTCTCTGAGTCTGTTTTTTCATGGGCAAAATAGGAACGGTTCTTACTTCAGAGGTTGTCTTAAGGATCAAATGAGTTTCTGGATGGAAGGTAGCTAGAACAGTGTCAGCATGGGATAAGCATTAGTTGTGGTGGTAGTATTTGATTATTTGTATCATGGCCTTGATAGAGGTTGTGAAGAAGGCAAGTTCACATGCTTAGCACACTAGCATGCTCCCAGCCCTCCCCACACACCTCCTAGATTTTTCCACCATGGTGCCTATTGAAACACTTCATTATTTGTTTATTTGGTTTTGAGAACCAAGGCTGGACCCCATCAGCAAGGTCTTATCCTGCCTTTGCACTACTTGAGCTCCCTGAGTTTTTCCAGCACCACCTCCCCAGCACTCTGAGTATAGCCCGGGCCAAGCCTAGGCCCCAGAGCTCCTTCGGGGAAGCAGCACAGGCTTGTCTTAATGCAGGGCAGTCCAGGGTTGGTCCTGAAGGTCCACATGACCCAAGACCAGTGCATCCAGACACTGGCACCCCAAAGAGAGAGCATCTGAAGCCAAAAACAGGTTGAGGCAACCAGATTCCCTCTCTCTAGAATGTGAGTAAAGGAAGACCCGGAGACTGGGTAACTGGCTGGCAACAGAGGCTGAGGTGGAAAGGCGAGGACACCGCAGAAGTCCATGATGGTCGAGGGAGAGCGGAGGGGAACGGGTGACACGGAAGTACAAAAGCGGTGACAGGGGCCACCAGGGACGCTGGGCTGGGAGTGAAGGTCTCTGGACAAGGAAAGCAGCAGTGCCCCCTCTACTCCACAGGCACTTTCTCAGCACTGCTCTGGAAATGCTGCGGCTGTTGCCTTCTCCTTCACTGGAAACCTGGGAAGGACCTGGAGTAACTATCAGCACAAAGGCTCCGGAAGCACCTTTAGGATGTGCTAGAAACTACTAATAGGAAAAGCAGCTGCCATCAACACAAACAATTTCTGGGTCATAAGTTTCAGTGCAAACACAGCACAGTGTGCCCTCAGCTCCCAGCAGATCCTTTCAGATGGGCAGATGAGGGTCTGGCCCCCGGGCCGAGCAGGTGATCTGCCCAGGCAGAATGATGGCCGCTTTCTCCTCCTGGCTCCACAGGGTGTGTCTGTCAGAGAGAATTGGCTTCCAAGGTAAAGAGGCCCCACTTCAATCAAGGGCCTACCAATGTGATTTGATGAACTCATAACAGAGCAGTTCTCCCCATAAAGAGACTCTTTGGCTGAAAATAGATGAGTCAACCCAGGGGGCCATGTTAATCCCTTGGGCAAGTTCATTTGCCTTTCCGGGGCCCAGGGAACTCATAGGTAGAAAAGGAGAGAATGTGGAGCAGTTGCCTCTCTAGGGCTCCTTGCATTTTGTTCATTGATCCCAGGGACCCTCCAGACACAACTCCTTCTTCAGCCTATCAGCGCCTGGCCTTCCTAACAAGCTAATCTATAAAAACAAACAAGAGAAATGCTGCTGTTCCTGGTTTGTCTCCCCGTTTCCTTACTCTGACATGACAAAGGTTTGTGTTAGGGATCATCAGCTGGGCTGGGGGGTGAACAGTTAGCAGACAGAAGCGGTGACAGGGCCCCACTCCCACTGAGCAAACAGGCCTGGTATCAGCCTTAAGTTGTCACGTTGACACCCTGCTTACGTGGAAAGCTGGGTGAGGCAGCCTGGCACATTGTAGGTACCTCTGGGAAAACTACAAAAGGAAAATTTTAAACACACACACATAACAACCACAGCTTCCTAGGCAGTCAACACCTCCTCTGCCTGTGAAAAGGTGCCTGGCCCTGTTTTGGGGGTGGAGGGGGTGGGGAGAGTATTAGGCCCTACCTACCTGGGCCCTGAGGCTCTGGGAACACAGAGGCCATTTTCATCCAGCCTTCAGAAGTTTCCTTTTGTGGCATCTCAATGATAAAAATATTCCTCCCTGAAGGTGCAACCGCGGCTCGGCAGATGTCCCTGACTGAGCACTTGGGAAGGAGCTATTAAAAGGAACGTAATTAGGTTGTCATCCTGGGGCCTCCGAGCCAGGCTTCCAAACGCCATCTTTGTTGAAAGCTTTCCAAACGTCAAATATTTGCAGAACCCGATTTATCCAAAAGGCTGTTAATACCCAATAGGACTGAGCGAAGACAAGGCAAAATGACACGTCCGCTCAAGGTTGGCCTCAGGCCCTAAGACTCCTTTTTTCTGTGTCTTTTGCCCATTTTGGGTCCTGGCCTTGCTCCCTGATTTCCTCTCCCCTCCTTCACAGCCTCCCGTCACAATTTGCTCTCAGGAAAGGCTCTCTCAGTCATTTATCCCTTAGCATGGATATAGGTGAGCCTCTGGGCATTTCCTCTCTCTCCGGCAACATGGGATTCATGCCTGAGCTCTGTACACTTCAGAAAACAGAAGGCTTTGTTTCCTTTCATAAAAAGGATGTCAGGTGCTGGAGCCAAGCGGGGAGGGCCTTTCTAGTGACCCTGTAATTTGTTAGAGGCAGCTACCTACGGGTCTGTGTCTGGAGCCAGTCCTGATTCCAAGCTCCTTTCTGCTTTGAGGTCTGTTATAATCACTCCCCTCCCTCCTTCTTGTTTATCCTACAGGCTCACCTGCCCATCCAACTCCTTGGCCACTCACCTGTCTATGCATCCGTCAGTTATTGAGAGGAGCCGTGCTGAATGGGAAAGAGAGTGGTGAGCACCAGCGGCCATGAGCTTTGTCTTCATGGAGGGAGACAGCAGAGACGGAGAAAGGCATTCATAATTCCAGAAATCAGTAGAAATACAGGAGAAGGAAGTCCATGGTGCTGTGAGGATGTGTTAGAAGGAAAACTGACATGTTGGGGACAGTGCGTGCACATGTGTGTCAAGCAGGATATGTGTTATGTCCTCAGTGATTGGTTTCTTCAACTGGAACAGCTTGTGCAAAGGCCCTGGCTGAGTCTCGATTTTCATGAGAACTTTCTCCTACTGGACTTTAGGAAACACCAAGGATAGTGTTTCTGAAACTTTTTAAGTAGGGCAAAGGAAGAAGAATCTGAAGTCAGTTTCTGAAATCCTCTGCAGTAAACAAACTTCTTCGAGGCAGTTGAGAGAGGGCTCTACCAACAAACAGGTTTTCTCTGGGGGCAAAGAGAGAGGGCCTTGTCCTCCTTCTCCTCTGGAGGTCTTCCCTGATATTCCAGCCTGCTTTTTACCCTTGAACAAGATACTACAGTCATTTCCCCAGGTCAAGAGCTACTACTTTATAGTAGAGACAGCCAGAGTAGAGACAGCTCCAGTTTGACTCAGTGAAGCCCTATTGTTGGACATTTAGCTTGTTTTCAGTGTTTTACAACTCTAAGTAACTCTTCCATGTACGAACAGGCCAGTACAGCAACTTTGCCCATTCCTTGAACTTTTGCTTGGGATAAATTTTGCTACACAATAATAAGTATGAGGGCCAGCTTTACTAAACACAAGTTTTCTTATCTGCTGAGCCTGTATACTTTATATACAGGTAAGTGTGGTGCTGTTCCCACTCTGAAGGGATGCTGCTGGGTCCTCATCCATCCACTGAGTCTGGTGGAGTCTTAGCAGGAAAGAACCTAAGTGGGCAGAGGCTAAAGGCTGGATGGGACGGGGGTGAGCAGGGGCTCAATCACCACTTACCTCTTTGTCCCCTTGTTCTTCCCATCTTAATGGACCCAGTCTGTCTCTGCTGGTGGAGGGTTCTGCCCTGATGCTCAACACTTCACCTGCATACACCAGTACCTGAGAGCAGGAGGGGTTAGAACCCCTAGCCGGAAGCTCTCTGCAGGAACTTTGTCTAGAAAGCTCACAGCCCCAAGGAGAATTGTGGGGCTACCTGGAACTTATGCCAAAAGAGAGAGTTCCTGGTGGAGACAAGGTTGTGAAACAGGATACCAATCTGTGGCTTAAAGTTTGTTACCAATGTGTAAATCACCTCTCTCTCTAGGCCTCTGTTTCTCCATCCATCACATGGAATTAATCCTCTTTTATCCCTACTTGACCAGGACGATGCAAAGATGAAGTAAATGAATATATATCTACTTAAAATGAGCTATTGAACATGAAAGTGTGTGGGAATACATACACAGGCAGAAAAGAAACCAAGATTGAATAAGCCATAGAACATAGCAGACTTTGTGTTTTATTTACTGTGTTATCCTCAGTACCTACAACTGTGCCTGGCATATAATAAGTACTCAGTATCCATTTGTAAAATGATGAGTAAACACATAAACATCTATTCCATCCTACACACATGCTAAGTACTTCATAGGCATTATCTCACTTAGCCTTCACAAAGAGCTCTTTACCAGAGGGGTATGAAATACTCCCATTTTGCAGATATGAAAGCTGAGGCTCAGACTGGTTAAGTAAATACAGCTGGTACTTGACAGGATTTAAATTTAAATGTAAGTTCTTCTAATGCCATTCCCTCAGCTCTTTCCACCTCTGTTATGTCTCAGGAGAAAAGCAGGTATGACACACATTCATGTTACTGTTCATTAAATGAGATAGTCCTTGTTGAAAGTCACAGCACCCGGTATGCAGTCAGTGCTCTACGAATCTATTATTATAATGCTGTATTTATTAATTTCTATTTTTCATAACTGCATTGTAAACACCTCAAAGGCAGGGGCCCTTCTCCTCCACAAGCAGGACAGAGTAGTTGCCTAACATACAGATTAACCAAATAGCATTGTTTTTGAATATAACATGAAGCAGAATGGCCTCCTTTAAGTCAGGGCTTTGCGCTCTGTGGCATAATCAGTCTGACTATGACTTTAATGAAAAGCCAGGGAAGGCCCATGACTGTCCCGTGGCTTGGAAGTCTGGTGGTCAGCAAGGAAGTGGGTAGACTCGGACACCAACGAAAAGAACAGTAACCAACAAGTGCAGAGTTCCTTGGGCCTGGCTCTGACCTTCCACTGACACCAGGTGACATTCTGACAACCTCTGGCTCCGCCTCCAGGGCCTGCAAATCTGGTTCATCTAGGCCTGCGATAGGCTCGGCCTAGCAGAGGTGGGTGGGGCCTTGGAGAGAATCTGAACCAATCATTTAGCTCCACACTTGCTGCCTAGGACTCGGAGGTGCCTGAGGCAACTTGACTCAGGAAGAGAAATCAGGGTTCTTGGAATACTTTCCTTCCCTGCCCCACCCAGAGACAATGCAGGAAAAGGGACTTAGACTTTGGCATGGTACTTTACTAGCAGTGAGCCTCAGGGCCTTCATCCCTGAAATGGAATAATAGTTCCATTTTCATAGGGTTGTAGCAATTAAATAAAATATGACATGTTAAATAACACAGATACCTAATTCATTTCAAGTGCTCAAAAAAATCAGTTGCCTCTGAATATGCAATGTGCCTGAAGGCAGGAACTGTATCTGAACCACAGCTTGCCTGGGTGCCCTAGTGCTTGTTAATTGTTCATACAATGTTGAATGAATGCCTAAATGGCTGGAATTCTCCATTCATACTTCATCCCTTCCTGTTAGCTTTGCCTGTTTATGGTCTCCCGAAAAATCTCTAGAAGGTTTAACACCCTAATCTTTTCCCCCACTTCCAGGAGGGCTCGGGGACAATATGAAGGCCTGGGTCCCTGGGGAGGGAAGGGCGCACTTTCATAACAAAGACAACTTTGTGGTGTGACCAACCTCTGCTGGACTGCTTGCACTGTCATTTTGGAACTTCTTGCTTCAGAATGCTAGGGCAGCAGCTTTGGCCCACTGTGGGTTATATGAAGGACATTAAAGATAGCATCTGGCTGCCAGTGATTGAGGATCTGAGAGGGGCTGAGTTGCCCTTCGGGGGTGGAGTGATGTGTTCCAGTTAGAATTAGGGAATGAACAATTTAGATGAGTGGTTAGAATTTGGGCACTAAGATTAGAGTTTGGAAGTCAACTAGAGTTAGGATTTGGTAATTAGTTACTGTTGAATTTCTGAATGAGAAATGGAAAGTTGCTAGAAGCCAGATATGGTGGGGGCCATCTCTTTGATCTAAAATTTAAAATATTCTATTCCAAAGTCTTGCCTCCTTCATTATGGGGAGACAGAAATCTCTTTCCTCTGGCTCCTCAACAGGCCTGGGTGTACCTGCAGACCGAGAACATTAAGCATCTACTACATTTCAGGTGTTATATCTAGCATATATTGCTCCAAAGGTATCTGGACACAGTCCCCTGCAATGAAGCTGAGATCAGGATATTAATGATCTGGTCTAGACCCACCCTTGGCATAGCCCAGTGACTTTGGAGGAAACTTAAATCTTCCAGCCTCAGTTTTTCCATCTGGCAAATGGACATAACCTCAGAAGGGTGTTTGGAAAACCTCAAGTGATCATGGAGGAAAAACTTCAAAGTAAACATGCTTTCTGGTGGAGTAAGTTGTTCCAAAGTGAACTATAGGGCAAAGTCAGGGCACCTTGCCCTTGGGAAAGGCTGAAGCTCCTCCCTCCCTCCATGAAATCCCAGGTTTTTCAGCTCTTGCCACATTCACCTAGTCTTTCCCAAACCATTTCTGGCAGGACTTATGCCTCTGAACAGGAACTGACAAAGAAGCAACTCACACTAAAAACTTTCCAAGCTTCTAGTCCTCCGCAACACACACACACACACACACACACACACACACACACACACACACACACACCAGCTAGCTCTGGGGCTGCAGCATGAGACACCTGGATAAAGTAAGTACTCAACAAATATTTATCAAATGAATTAATGAACGAGGGAGTGAGTGAGTGGCTGTATGAATGAGCAGACACGCCCGTAGAGAATGAGATGGTTTCCTAATCCAGGATGCTGAGTCCTCCCAAAGAAAGTCATCTGGGACTTTCCTAATGAGTGCTCCATGACAGAGCCACACCCTATCCTTTTCCTCAAGCCCCATATATCTTTTTTTTTTTTAAGCCCCATATATCTTCTTTGCTCCCCAACTTCACCATGGCGGACTGTGTCCTAGACCCCTCTGGGACCATATATGCTACACCCTGAATACTTCTCAATACTTGATATGTAGTACATGCCCAATAAATGTGTGATGAACTGAAGTGGGAGATAGATAAACAAGACTTGGATCCTGTCTTCCCAAAGTTTACAGTTCAGTGGGAGAGAAAAGATAGATATGTAAGTACTATATGACAAAACACCATAGGTAATTGGTACCAAAAAAAGGCTAAGGAATGTATGCTATAGAAGGTCAGAGGTGAGAAAATTTACTATGAGCTGAAAAAGTGAGGGAATGCTTCATGAAGAAGTGAATGAGGTTTAAGGGTAGACTCTGAAGGAAGAGAAGAGTTTGGAGGCAAGGGAGAAGGTGTTGCTGATAGAGGCAAAGGGCTACCCCCAGCAGGAAGGCCAGTTCAAGATATGTTCTGAAAACCTGAGTTGATTCAGTACAGCTAGACAGCAGATTCAAGCAGAAGAGTGTGGCTTGTACCATAAGTAGGTTGTGGAGACACTGTAGGAGCTTTGAATTTGAGGAGAAGAGATTTGGATCAAGAGGCTGTGTGTGTGCTGAGCTGCTTCAGTCGTGTCCAACTCTTTGCAACCCTATGGACCGTAGCCCAACAGGCTTCTCTGTTCATGGGATTCTCCAGGCAAGAATACTGTAGTGGGTTGCCATGCCCTCCTCCAGG